TTCATAGGACTCTTTAAAGAAGCTTTGCAATTGCCTAAAGTTAATCCAGCCCACTCTTCTACTTGACCCAGAACCTAAAACATTGTCCATCTATATGGTCATTCTCAGATATACATACTGATGGATAAGATGTATAGGTTTTCCATAAGAATAAATGCTTGCCTTCACAAAATCCATTGCCTTTGCCTATTAAAATGTTGAAGCAACTTGGGCTCATTGAGTCTATGTCCCTGGATCATGAACTGTGGCAGATTAGATCATTCTGGAGAGTCTCTGAGAAGGGCCTATCATGACTAGTATATGTGTATATGTATATGTATATGTATGTGTATGTGTATATGAGTATGTTTATATGTATGGGTGTATACATGCATATGCATATATACATACTCATATGTATACACACATATACATATACATATTTGTATAGAGATATGTAAATATAGATATAGATAGTAACACATAATGGTACAAAAAATCAACACTTCTTAGTATTGCTTATGATTAAGTCTTCCTTCTTATAAAGTTATCATTTCAATTTTGAAATTATCCCAACATAAAAGACTCACATCCATGCCTTCTATCTAAGTAGGCTCCTTTCAAATGCCCTAGCGATGATAAAGTTTTCAGGAGTTACATGTATCATCTTCCCATATAAGATTTTGAACAGTTTAACTTGTTTATTCCTTTATGTTTTTTTCACTCATGTTAACATTTTTATGCTTTTCTTGAGTTTTATGTTTGAATGTCAAATTGTCTACTCAGCTGCGGTCTTTTCATCAATAATGTCCTGAAGTCCTCTATTTTACTAAATTTCCATTTTTCTCCTTTAGGATTATACTCAGTGTTGCTCATCAGCTTATTCTTAGTTGTAATCCTAGCTCCATTGCCTTCCAGAATATCTGTACAAGCTCTCCACTCTTTTATAATAATAGCTGCTATATCTTATATGATCCTGATTATGGCTCCATGGTATTTGATTTATTTCTTTCTGACTACTTCCATTATTTTCTCCTTAATCTTGAAGCTCTGGGTTTTTGCTATAATGTTTTCATTTTGGGGTTTCTTTGAGAAGTGTTTGGTGGTTTCCTTCAGCTTCTGCTTTGCCCTCCAATACTAAGATATTTGGGCAGTTTTTTTTTCTTTTATAATTTCTTGAAATATGATTTTTTCATTCATGTTTTTGTTCATGGTTTTAAGGTGGTGTAATAATTCTCAAATTATCTCTTCTTAATCTATTTTCCAGGTCAGTTAATTTTTTTCTATGTAATATTTCATGTTTACTTCTATATTTTCAGTCTTTTGACTTTATTTTTTCTTGATGTCTCATGGAATCATTAGTTTCTATTTGATTATTTCTAATTTTTAATGAGTTATTTTATTCATTGAAGTTTTCTACCCTTTTGCCACTTGACAAATTATGTTTTTAAGGAGTTATTTAGTATTTTGTCCCTCTTTTACCATGCTGTTAAATCTCTTTCCATAATTTTCTTGAGAAAGGCTCTCATATTTTCCCCCCTATTTTCCCTCTACCACTCTATCTGTTTTATTTTGTTTTTTTTTTCTCTTTTTATCACTTTGTTTAATGCTCCTAAGAATTATTTTTGGGTTTGTGCCCAAACTGCATTTTTCCTTGAAGCTTTACTTTCAGTTTTTTTTTTTTATCATTGACTTCTTTTGGGTTTGTGTCTTAATTTCTTGTGCCCATAGTAGCTTTTTATGGTCCAATTCTTCTTTGTTATTGTTGTTTCCTAATTTTTCCAACCTACTTCTTAACTTTGGATTTTATGCTCTGTTGGGTTAAGCTCACTTCTGTGGGGGTATGACTGGCCTCAGCTTCTCTTTTTTATGTCATGCTGCTTAATTCACAGATCATTCAGGTGATTGTGAGTTTCTGGTGTTCCAAAAGTGGTGTGATCCAGGAAAAGATCTGGTCACTGTCCACCTGCTCTGTGCTCTGGTCTCCCTGTTCCCTCATGATTGTAACTGCTCTTCTCCACCTTGGAACAGTGACCTGTTACTGGGCAATAGGTAACCAAGCTGCTAGATGAGACACATCACTATTCTGATTGCCAGCACAGGGGTCCCCTGGGATCTCTTTCTGCCCAATTTTTCATTTACCTTACTGATGCTCGGTGCTAGGCCACTCCCTGCTGCTACTTTCACTGCCACAACCTAATACTGTTTTCATTACTGTGCCCCCACCCCAGTGTCTGCAGATCTTTTTGTCTTCCTAAGCTTTTCTAGGCTGAAAAAAATAAGTCACTGTGATTTTTTTTAAACTGAACCTTTAAGAATTTGTTTGGGCATTTTTTATGTTGTTTTGAAAGAGGTTTGGGGGAAGCTAAGTCAAAATTGCTGCCTTCTCACTCTACCCAAAATATTCTTCTTACAGGCCTGGGCTGAGCAGACTAAGAAATAAATGATCCCTTTAGGCTACATAATCTAAAAGTGACAATAATGAGCAGAGAGGTCTATAAAGACATATAAATTAGCTTATAAACACCAAAAAAACCATAAACATACAAGCATACACATATTGGTATGTGTTTAAAAATATATAAATGTGTATGAGGGTGAAACTACAAGTTTTTGTGCAAACAAAGCCAATGCAACCAAGATTAGAAGGAAAGCAGAGAGCTAGGAAACAATTTTCACAGTCAGTTTCTCTGATAAAGGCCTCATTTCTAAAATATGTAGAGAACTGAATCAAATTTATAAGAATACAAGTCATTCCCCAATGGTTAAAGGATAGAAACAGTCAGTTTTTAGATGAGGAAATAAATGCTCTAAATCATTATTGATTAGAAAAATGCAAATCAAAGCAACTCTGAGGTACCACATCACACCTATCAGAGTGACTAACATGACAAAATAGGAAAATGATAAATGTTGGAGAAGATATGGGAAAAATGTAACACTGATGCCTTGTTGGTGGAGTTGTGGACCAATCCAACCATTCTGGAGAGCAATTTAGAACTATGCCCAAAGGGTTATAACATTGTGCATACCCTTTGATCCTGCGATACCACTACTAGATTTGTATCCCAAAGAGATCATAAAAAATGGAAGAGGATCCACATGTACAAACATATTTATACCAGCTCTTTTTGTGGTGCCAAGAATTGGAAACTGAGGGGATGTCCATCAATTGGAGAGTGGCTGAACAAGTTATGGCATATGAAAGTAATGGAATACTATTGTTACATAAGAAATGTTGAGCAGGTGAATTTCAGAAAAAAAAAAAGCCTGGAAAGACCTGCATGAACTGTTGCTGAGTGAAGTGAGCAGAACCAGGAAAACATTTTACCCAGTAACAGTAGCATTGTATGATGACCAATTTTGATAGACTTAACTCTTCACAGCCATTCAAGGATCTAAGACAATTCCAAAAGACTCATGATGGAAAATACTATCCACATCCAGAGAAAGAACTATGGAATCTGAATGCAGATTAAAACATACTATTTTTTCTCTTTTTTTGTTTGTTGTTTTTTTCTTTTTTGTGTTTTTTCCTTTTTGTTCTGATTCTTCTTTCATGTCATGACTAATGTGGAAATATGTTTAATATGATTATACATCTATAGCATCTATCAGATTGCATGCTCTCTTGGAAAGCGGTTAGTGAGGGAGGGGGAAAATTTAGAACTCAAAATCTTATAAAAGTGAATGTTGAAAACTAAAAATTGATTAATTAATTAATCTTTAAAAGTGTGTATCATAATATAGAGTTGATGTGAAGTAAACACAATGGTAATTTTTATACTATTGTTGTAAAGGCTGTACCCATATATGTAGCATGGGGAAATTGTTTTGTGATGCAAAGGGAGCCAGAATAGAAAACTGTAGCTTCTTCTCCTGCCCTTTTCCCAGGGCAAGTTTAATTCTTCTCAGGAGAGAAATAGGAGATGGTCAGCCACTCTTCTCCTCAGAGATATTTTTTATTCTGGCACCCTATGATAGAATTATATCTATCTGCTCCCTTAAATATTATTAATCTGGGTGATGTAATTTTCAGGTTCAATTTAACTTCTGACTACTGTTTTATTAATGAGGAAAGCAGGACCTCAAACTATCTCCAAGGCATTATTCCCATTCTTTCTGCCAAATACCACTTTCATAATTAATTCATATAACAACTATTAAAGAAACCTATTTATCCAACTCAATTAGGAAAATAAACAAAAAAACAAGCAAACCAAAACATAAATCAGAGAAAATATACATCAAGAAATACATACCAGATAATAAGGAGCTCTCTGTCAATCGAGAGCAAAGTAAGTCATTGACAAAAAGAAAGAGAGAGAGAGAGAGAGAGAGAGAGAGAGAGAGAGAGAGAGAAGGTGGAGAGAGGGAGGGAGAGGGAGGAAGAGGGAGGGAGAGGGAGGGATTGATTTTCCCAAGAAGAAATTCCCTGAAGTCTCTAGTGTAGCAAGCTGGAGATACAGACATGGGGAGACTGCCAGCTCCTCCCATGCTGTCTTCTTCCCAGAGCCTTTTTCTTCAGCTACTTGAAATGGGATTGACATCTTTCTTCTCCTTGAAAACTGGAAGCCAAAAGTACATGAAATGAAGGCAGAGCCCAAAGTAACTCAAGTGACTCAAAAAAACTAAAGCATCTCTCTCTCTCTCTCTCTCTCTCTCTCTCTCTCTCTGTCTGTCTGTCTGTCTCTCTCTCTCTCTCTCTTTTCCTCCTTCTTCCTCCCTCCCCTTCAACTCTGCCCCAAACTTGACTCACTGGAATCTCTCTCTACCAATGAGGAGAAAGCCCCATACCAATCATCTTTAAGACTGGAGTCATATTCTATGTGTGAGTGAGTCAGTTAACTAATTAGCATTTATTAAATGCCTACTACATATTGAGCACAATGCTAAGTACTGCTCTCAAGGAACTCATTGAATAATAAGGTAGACAGCATGCAAACATCAATATATAAAGCAGACCTATGTAGAGTAAATTGGGTGTAGTCCCAGAGGGAGGGCACTAAGACTAAGGAAGACTAGGAAATGCTTCTCACAGAAGATAGAGCTTTAGCTGAAACTTGAAGGTTGCCAAGAAAGCTTAGAGGTGGAGTTGAGAAAGGAGAGGTAGTGTTCCAAACACTGAAGACAGGGAATAAAAATGCTTAGGGTCAGGAGACTGAGGATTGTGTGAGATGAAAAGCAAGGAGACCAGTGTCAGTGAAGACATTATTACGATAAAATGAATATCCACCCAAAGGTAAGGAAAATGACTTTCAGATTTATGCAGAGACTTAGAACTTCATCTTTTTCTTTTCACATAGCCCAGTCAAATGAAACATGATCTAAATTACTGCATAAGCCTTCCTAATTCAAGGTTTTGGTAAGAAAAACAAATAGAATTCTATTTCAACATCTAAGACATTCAAATTCTAACAGACTGTCTCTTTGGGAATATTCCAAAGACAAAATCATGATATTCATTGCTTGATACTAGCAAGCTTTATGCTGGGGCTTGGAAATGTTTAGACAATAGAGAGATTTTTAATTATAATAATATTTTCTATAAGGGGCTTTGGCTTGCAGTCATTATCTCAAAGCATTTCTTGTCTTTTATTACATTATGAGGGAATTCAGCAGCTAATAACTTAGATATATTTTACATATTTTACTAGAAGCTTGCAATTCACCTTGTTGTAGTACTCATTCTTTTCAAGACAGTTAGATGTCCTAACAAATAGAAATGCCTACACATTACATATTTGTCAATCTCTCACTTAACAAATATCTTCTAGTTATTTCATAGAGAAAGGCCACTTCAAGGCTATTGGCTCAATTAAAGCTTTCTATGAGCATTTAAGGCTTTTAAAAGCATGTATAATTTTATTCTTTAAGTCATTAGGCAGGCAGCTTGGTGCTTTCATCTCTCTACCTTGGTACAATGCCTGAATGAGGCCTCTCAGAATGACTTCCTGTCTGGCCTGTGTAAACCATACCTCTCCCCTGTCTCTGAGCTGAAAGGAGAATATGAAGTCAACAAGTATAACATGAAAATAAATAAAATCCAGTTCAAACAAACCACTTTCTTTAGTCAATAGTTTCTGGCCCAAGTTCAACAGTACCCAGCAAAGCTTTTGAGATATCTTATTTTTAAACTATTCTAAGGTTAATCCTTCAAGATTATCTTATTTTTAAGTACCAAAAGGATCATATGATAAAATGACTCAGGTATTATCATGTATTGATGATTCATGATGTCCTTCTGGAAAATGAAAACTAAGGAGTCTAATCAATAAAATTATTTCTAGGCTTTGAACTAGTTCCAAGTCAATTTTTCTTGGCAGTTTTTTGGCTTCCTGAAATACACTGACCCAAACCATGAATAATGATCTAAAATTGCACAATATACAGAAACCATCTGTTAGATAGGAACTGGAGGGTGATGTCATGGGGCCATTTCTAATCTGAATTTAATGTCCTGCCAGTGCTGATGTCACTGGCTTGGCAACACACTGGCAGAGTCCGACTTGTTATGGATGAATAGGTACTGGGAGGAAATGTTGTCACTAAGTGAAGAAGAATTTTTTTTTCTGTTTTATGCACAAGAGATCAACTAACAAGAAATGGGGAACCATTACATTGCAATAACAAGTAAATTCTAGGGAGATGAATTAACAAATTTCATCATTGCTGTGATCTTTTCCCAGGAATGAATAAAAGTGATTGTATATTTCAAGCAATCAAGACTCTCATCCTATAAATAAGAAAGATATTTTAAAGAAAAAAAACAAATCAGGCAAATAAAAGACATACCAGAGTAATTTCTACATATGCATGACCAAAGAAGATTTTGAGTTACCATGACACTAGGATGTATTTATGTTTAGGATTTTAGAATGTAGAAACCAGGATAATCCACCTTTACATTCAGAAACATGTTTGCTTTGGAGTCCTATACCTAATTCCTAATATAGAGAACATGAAGAGAGTTCAGTGGACTATAACAAAAAATAATAAATGGATTAGGAAGTTACTTGAGGACAAGCTACAATAACTGGGCAGGTGGGAGTAAGATGCTAAGAAGGCACTGACAAGAGATTTTTCTCTTCTATAATGTTTCTCTATCCTGACAAAAGGCATCCCAATTTTGATCCACAGTGTCTGGATGACCCTGGGCAAGTCACTTAACTTTTCAGTGTCTGGAGTCTAGACAACTCTATAAATTTCAGAGAAGTTTCTGATGTGTATTTGTGACTAGGATTTCCTCTCCTGAGAGATACCTAAACCAAAAAATAGTATAGGTCCATCCCTTATGTCCAAAGAAAATATATTTAAGTTCTCATTCTGTCAGCTGTGAAAAAAAAACTCAGAGTGTTTCTTCAGAAACAGGAGAAAGAGAGAAATGGAGGTTTTTCTTAAATTCTCTTCAGGGCTGTCTGAATTATTCAGAAAAAAAATTTCTTACCATGTATAGAATCTATCATTATGTATGTGTTCCAAAATATATTTTTTAATTTAATAGATCACCTCTTCTAATTATTTGGAATGAATTTGGAAAGTACACATTTTAAAATTAATGGACTAGACTATTTCAGTGTTTTTATTTTAAATTTTACAGGATAAATAGACCACAAATAAGTTTGTACCAAGGTAAGAATGCATTTACATAAAAAAGATACAAAAAAACCCCACAACAACAACAACAATGAGCGTCTGATCAATAAGATACAGAATAGGGTAAAAGTTGTGTTATAAAAATTAAGAAACTTTCTAAAGTTAAATTTTCAACATATGAAATGACTGGTATCTATCTAGCAACTATTCAGACCATGTACACTCACTCAGGTTAAATATTTTTTAAGACAAATGGGTATATACCAGGGAAGGGGAATGGAATAGCTATTTATATAGAACTTGTTTGGTGCCAGGTGCTGTGCTAAGTGTTTTACAAATATCATCTCACATGAGAAAGTTATGAGGAGATGGGATAAGTTAATACACCCAGGGTTGTAAGGACTTATGGAAAAAGTGCTTTTTAAAAAAATTATGTGATTTTAAGTGAAACATTTTCAGACTGATACAATCAAATAAAATTAAATTTCATAGTCTCAATGTAATTTTGAGTCTCCAATTTGCACATTGAAAGGTAAAGGTCTAATGATGAATTCCATTCACAATATTGTCTCTCATTCTTGAGAAAAGGATGGCAACAGATGTAAATTTTTCCAAGAGCTAATTTTCCTCTGGCATTAATTTTGGGGAGTGGAAATTACAGGTATTGAACTTTCTGCAGAAAAATTTAGAACAAAACAAATGTGGAGTTAATTGTTTTAGATGAAATGGAGAATAGATATATTCTATTACTAAGACTAAGAACTGATGGCTAATTTTAAAAGAAATTTTTTGATATACCATCTAAAAGGCAATTCAAGAGAATAGTCATTTAAGATTCTCATTATGCTTATTATGCATTATTATGCTGTATGGAAGCATGGCCTCTATTGATAAACAGAAACACTGATGAGTCTGAGGCAGGATACCGTTACAAAGACAAAAGGTCAGCATGCTCCCCTCATGACAAACATATGTTTTCCATTGGGCACTTCCACCTATACTGAATTTCCTTGCCGCTCATTATAGTGTATTGACATGCAATTAGCCTAAAAAACCAAAATGTAGAAAACATGGTTTTATATTTTTTTTCAAGGAAGGAATTTAAACTCTTTTAAAAAAAAATTGATGATGGTGTTGATAGGGAATTGTGTGTGCAAAATACCCAATTCCAATTTTTGTCGCTTTCATAGACCTTAAATGTTTCACTTATCTTGTATTATAAACTCCAAGCTGTGGAGAAATATTCACCAGACAAGTCATAAATCATGCCTAAAGACAGGTGCAATAAATACCAATGTCAAAAAGTTACAATGTAAAATTATATTGTTTTGACAAGATGTCCAGATGCGTTGACAACCGAGCAAGCAAACAGCATCCTTCCCGAGAACCCATTGATACAGGTGTGGGGAAAAGGATCCAAAGATACCATACTGAAAAAAATAAAGTGGGGTGTTAATGGTTGTAATACAAAACTGATACTCTCAAGGACATGATTAGCAAAGACTCACCCACCTAAATAAGTGGGTCATACTCTAAATTTTTACAGGGTCACAAAAAGAAAAAATAATACATGAGAGACCTCTTCAGGTACATCTGTACCTGATTGTACACAAAGTGCACTTCTCTAAAAAGTTCTATGTAAGGTAATTTTGGCAAATAAAATACCAATTTAATTGCATTGTGGAGTAAATTATTAAAAGGAATGCTATGGTTAATCTCATCTCAAATTAATTATAACATTTAAATTTATAACTTGTATAAGTGGTACCAAAAGGCTTTAAACTGCACCGAGATTTTTGGAACACATTGTATTAGACTGTATTATCATGTATTAAGTGTGCTCAAAGCAATGTTTATCTAAATTAGTTATGTTGTATTTCCATTTTTTCAGAGAATAGCAAAAACTTATAACATTAGTTGTATAATGCAAAATTAATTATGCAGGATGATAATTAATATTCTTGATTTATAATAAAGTAATAAATAGGTATTTATAAAAAATAACAAGTAGACATTCATAATCATGACAAGTTTCATGTAACTTTTCATAAAATATGACTAGACAGGAATTGAATGACTTTCCCTGGGATGAACAAGGACATCCATGCCTCCACCACCACCAGCACCTCTCCCCCCAAAAATGAATCCTTATTATGTATGTTTCTAATATGAATAGAAAATGAGCTTACAGGTAACATAACAACTTCTGAAATTATCTGCGTTTTTAAAGTAATTCTCTAGATTTTTCGTCATCTTCACCAAGGCTTTTGCCTTTTCATGTAAAATAAATGGGAAGAATTGAGCAGCTCTCTGGAGATTTCAGGGCCGCCATCCACTCTAATTAGAAATGACCAGCTAAATTAGGCAAAAATTTCAAGAGTTATAATTATTTCAATTTTCCACTTTTGTATGTGTCAACATAACGTTTACTCCTGGATATTGCATTTGCTTTGAGAATTGTTTCAGCTGGCAAAAGATTTAACTATTTCAATGGGGTTTATATCAACATCCCATGACATTCAGATCCCTGAAATAGAATACTGTTTTATAGACTCCAAGATGTCCCACCAGCTCCAAAAGGAACAGATTTGCTTTTCCCTTTGATCAATATACAGAACAAAGGCATCAAAAGCCATTTCCAATAGT